AGTAAATATAAAAATTTAAAACATAAAATTAAATAATTAATTTAAATTAAGTAATGACTTAAAATAATTAATTTATAATTTTTAATCTTTTCTTAACAATTATTAATTGGCTTCTTTTTTTTTATTATAATTATTATTTAATTTATTAATTTTTTTTTTTAATAAAATAATATTATATGTTTCAAGAAAATAAAAATTAAATATTATAGATAAATTATCAAATTAATTTAAAAAAATATAAATTATATATATATTTTTTATTTCCATATAAAACTAAAATTAATAATAATATATCAAACATTCATCATTTAAGTATATTTTTTCATAAAAAAATAATTATAATAATTTGTTAAAAAAAATAAAAAAATTAAATTAATTATAAATGTTTTAAATAAATATAGAATACTTAAAGAGATTAATTATATATTAAAATTTGAAAAAAAAAAAATTAATAAAAAATAAGAAAATTAAATAATGAAATTTCAAGTATATTTTTTTAAATAAATTAAGCAAAAAATATTTAGTTAAATTATATATATATAATTTACATAAAAATTTTAATATTTTATTATATAATAAATTAATAAAATTTACAAAAAAAAAATATTATTAAGAAAAAAAAAAATATTGATATAAATTATAAATAATTATATATTTAAAATAAAATATTCATATATATTAAATAAATATATTAAAATGTAAAAAGCAATAAAAAAAAGAGGCAGACCAAAAGGATCAAAAAATAAACCAAAAATTTTAAAACAAGAAAAAATATATACATTAAAGTAAAAATAAAATAAAAGATATTAAATACAGATTATATGAATTTTTTTATTTCAAATAATTTTATATTTTATACCAAACTTAATTATTTAATTTTTTAAAATTAAAAAAATATAAACGTAAAGTAATAAATAACTGCATAAAGTTAAAAAAAACAAATAGTAAATAGAATAATAAGAATAAAATAATAAAAAAAATAGTTAATTTATACTACAAGCAAGAACAAATAAGGCCTATTATAATTATCAAATAACAGTTGATTATTCTAAATTTTTTTGGTATTTAAAATTATTAATATATAAAAAATTATTATTATAGTAATTTAAAAAAAAAAAAAAAAAAAAAAAATAAATAAAAAATTAAATTAATAAATTAATATATAATTTTTTTAATATATATATTTTTATTATTCAGTGTTTAAAAATAAATATATATATCTCAATTACCTATAATTAATTTTAATTAAAAACCTCACTAACCTTCTTTTATTGCTTAAATGGATAAATCTTATTATGAAAAAAATGATAAAAGGTTATAAAATGATTGTAAAAGAAGAATAGAAGAATCAAAAAAATCAAAAAATATTTTTTTAGTATTTTTATTTATAATAAAATTATTTAAATTTATTAATTATTTACTAATTAAAATAAAAGCCAATTCCTGATAAAGTTGAAAATAATTGTAATGTCTGTAAAACTACTTACACTGATTTTATATAAGTAAATATATTATTATATTTATATTAATTTTTTTGTAAATAAAGCATGTAAATTCTATTTTTCATAAAAATAATTTTAAGAAAAATCCTTATTATTAATTAATAAAATAATTTTGTAATACTTATTAAAGTAGCTATTTTTAAAACCTTGAAGTAAATGTTTATAATAAATCTTTTTTAGTAAAATATAATTAAGAATAAAATAAATATATGTAAAAACAATACATTGATATGTCGAGTAATCCAACTAAAAAAATACATATCTAATGATAATTTTCAATATTGTATTATACTTTATTTGATAAAAAATAATAAATATAATTAAAATAATTATAAATTATAATATTAATTTTTTTTCTTTTCTAGTAAATATATAAAAATTTTGAAAAAATTGTTTTATAATATAAAAATTCAATATTAAATGTTTAAATATTTATTTTAAAATAAAAAAATGAAAAAATAAAAATCATAAGTAAAAATCAATTATATTATAAAATATTATATTATATTATATTATATTATATTATATTATATTATATTATATTATATTATATATTATATTATAATATATATATATATATATTATTTTAATTATAAAATTTTTAATATTTATTACATATTAAATATAATAATTAATTAATCTTTAATATTACATTTAAAATTATGTTTTATTTATTAACAAAATATTAATAATTTTATTTTTATTTTTATTTAATTAAAATTTTCTAATATAATTTTCAAAAAAATATTATTAATTTATGAAAAAAGTAATATTTATAATACTTTTATTTTTATTTTGTATTTTGTATTTTTTATTTTCATTTATTTAATATTTAATATCTAAAAAAAGAATTATGATACATATTTTCTCTTTTTTTTATGTTCTTTTTTAAAAAAATAAAAACAATATAATAAAATAAAAATGTTAAAATTTATTATATATTATATCTAAATTATTAATTATCATGAAAAAAATCTTATTATTTCATTAACAACTATTTCTACAAAATAAAATAAATAAAAAATACAAAAATATTTACTTTTTTCAAAATCCTAAATTTCTTATTATTTAGTTTCTTAAATTTCTTAAACTATTTTTTTAAAAGACGGTCTATCTTCTGGTTTTCTATTTAAACATTATTTCATTAGTTTTAAATATCTAGGTATTCCTTTTTTGGGAATTTGAATTTCATAATTATCATCGAAGCCTACTGTACCATAAATTTATTAATGGGACATTCCTTTATAAGGAATTTATTTATTAATCATTTCCCAAAGAATCATCCCAAAGGAATAAACATCAGAATGCTCTTAATAAGGTTCTCTTCTCATAACTTCTGGTGCCATCCATTAAGGCGTCCCGATTAAAAAAGTTTCTTTTTATTGTTTTTTTTATTTATTTAATTTCGATTTTATTCTAGATAAACCAAAGTCACATAATTTAACATTCCAATTCTCGTCTATTAGGACATTAGAGCTTTTTAAATCACAATGCATGACCTTTATTCCATGTAAATATCTCATTCCTAAGGCTATATCTTCTAATATTCTGATTATTTATGTTTAAGAAAAATCAGTGTTTAAACAATGGAGATGGTCAAATAAAGAGCCTTCGTTTAAATATTCTGTTATCATATAATATTGTGAGTTTTATATACAAATTCCCATATATAATACTATATTAGGATGTCTTAAATTATTTATAACACGAACTTCTGATATAAAATCTTATATTTTTCTTAAATGTATTTTACTGTTTTTTTTCCGAATTACTGTTTATTTTATAATATATGTTTTTTTTGTTTATAAGTTTAGTTTTTTTGTTTACTTTAATAGCTACATCTTAACCTAACCAATTTCCTTAATATACTTCTCCATAACTACCTTCTCCTATTTTTTTTCCGAATTCTAATTCTTTATATGAAATAATGAAATTTTTATTAATTCCACTTTATTATAACATTTCTATTATTCTTTTATCTTTTTTTTTTTTTTTTTTTTTTTTTTTTGGATTATATTTTTTGTTAATAAAATGAAATATTTACCTATATCTTAAGCAGTATAATTATGCTTTTTTTGAATAGTCTTATTGTTTTCGTCATTATTTTATTAAGTTTTTTTATCCTTCTTTATTTATTTTTTTTAAAGAGAAGAATTACTATAATCGATACTAGATATAGATTTAATATGATTTTTTTTTGCACCTTTAAATTATTTATTTTAAATTTCAGGTGTTTTTTTGTCTATAGTCTCATTTTCAGAAGAATCTGAAGAAGAATAGGAAGAATTATATATTTAAATCGTATTTTTATATATAATATTATTTGAGTATTATTTGTATTTTCAAAAAAGAGGCTTTTTTTTTTTTTTTGGGGAGAATAATTTATATGGGGAACTTTTTAAGTTTTAGAGTCATAATCATTTGAAGACTTACCTTTTTTAGAACTTTCGAGAGTACTTTTTTTTTACAATTTCTGAATTTTCTAATGTTTTTTCATTTTTGTTATTTATATATGAGTTTTTTTATATTTCCTCATATTCATCATCAGCTGCATTATTTAAAATTTCTGAAAAATTGTTCTATTTATTATCTAATATATTAATATAATTATTATCTTTTTTTCTCTAAAATTCTTATATATTAGATTTCTAAGAAAGATTATATAATATAGTATTATTATTTTAAGATTAATATAGGCCTTTTTTTAAAAATATTTCTTATTTTTAATCATCTTAGTCTATATTTTCTTCCTCTTCGATTATACTTTTGTAGTTTATAGCTTATTTTTGATTGTTTTATTAAATTTGTTTTACTAATTATACAAAATTAAAGTTTTTTAAGATTTTACTTGCCTTATATTTCTTCAATATATTTAGTTATTTATGAAAAATTTTACGCTTTCCTAAAGCTGACATACCGAATTGTTCAATTAGGTCTTTGTCGGAAAGTAGAAAGATACTTTTCCCACATATTTATTATTTCAAAAATTCTTACTTATATTGAGATAAATCTATTTTTTCAAGCCATTCTAATATATCTTATGTTTACCAATCATTTACTTAAAAAATATATTAATTTATATATATATATATATATATATATATATATATATATATATAAATATATTATACTGTTTTTTCGTAAATTTGAAAATAAATTATGATATTCTATTTATTCCAAAAATTAAAAATCAATGTTTTTAAGTTAATATATTTCCTCTAATGAATTTATACTTGAGTTTATATTTAAATTATTCAAAATACTATATGTATTAATTCCTAATATATTTTCAGATATTTAAGTTTATATATTGATTGATTTATTGCCTATTTATAAATTACTTTCATTATTAGTTTTAATACTCTATTTTTTTTTATTTTTTTTGATTTTATGTTCTTAATTAATAATTACATCTATATCACTATTAAAACTTTTTTTTCATATTTCAAAATAGTAAGGGAGTTTTAAAAACTTTATTTTAATTGATTATACGTTAAAGAACTACATAATTTTAAATTTTAATCACTTATATTTAATTAAAAAAAATTATTATCTATTAAATTAAGACTTTTTATATTATTATTTAAAATATCTGTATCTTATTATAATAATTAAAATAAATAATATATATATATATATATTTATAAATTAAAAAAAAAAAATTAAATATATATATATATATATATATATATATATATTTAAATTTTTATTTATTAATATATATTATTTATTACTTTTTTCAGTATTTAATATAGTTTCTTTTTTTTTATCTTTTTGTTATTCTATTTATTTATATTAAAATTTTTTAATATTAATTTTTTATCCATATTTCCATTTTTCTTGATTTTCTAGACCTTAAGGATTTGTATATATCCCATTTCCATGTTTTTATTATTTATAAAATAACCTATTTTAATATTATTAATATTTATTATTTTTTATATTATGTTTTAAAATTTACCTTTATATTTACTTTAATCTTTATACCACATAATACCATCTCCGTTTCTATTATTATCTTTCCACATACCTTTAGATATAAGTATTATTTAATATAATTTAATATTTATATTATATAAATTTATTAACAAAAATACAATATAGCAAATTATTAAAACAATATAATGATTTTTATTTTATGCGCGTTTATTTAAAATAATCCATTAAAAATATAAATTAAATGTTAAAAAATAAAAAATATCTATATATTAATATAAAAATATACATATTTATAAATAAACTTATAAAAATAATATATTTATATATATATAATTAAATATATTTTAATTTTTTTTCATTTATATATTACCTACATATCTCTCATTATTAGCGTAAAAATATTAACCTATGCCTTCTTATTTTCCTTATTTCCAATTACCTATATATAATTCACCGTTTAAAAAATATTATTTTCCTTTTCCATGTCTTTTATCTAAGTACCAATCTCCTTCATATCTATCTCCGTTAAAATATATCATAGTACCTTTACCTTACTTTTATTAATATTAATTAAAAGAACCTATATATTTTATTTTAATTTAATTTATATTGAATAACATTTTTTTAATACCAACATATTTATCGCCATTTTCATATATTAGTTATTATGAAAAATATTATTTATTATCTTCTTATGGTTTAAAAATTTATTTTATATAATTCATAAATTTATTAGTTGTATATATTATTTTAAAATTATAAAATATTATTTTTATTGTAAAAAAATATTGTATAATTTGCGTATTATTCATAATAATTAATTATTCTATTTTTATTATATTTAAAAAATGATAAATTAAATACTTTTTTATATATTATTTCATTAAAAATAAATAAATAAATTTATGATTTTTTATAATTTTTTTTAATAAAAATGTTTTTAATAAATTAAATTATTTATAATATATATAAATATATATATATAAATATATATATATGTTTCTATATATATATATATATATATAGTTCT